CCCCCCCCTCTCTCTCCCTCTCTCTCTCTCTCTCTCTCTCTCTCTCTCTCTCTCTCTCTCTCTCTCTCTCTCTCTCTCTCTCTCTCTCTACCGGGACAGGAGAGGCAAGGCGAACCCTGCCCGTCTCTCTCTCTCTCTCTCTCTCTCTCTTGTTTGCTTGCTTGCTTGGGATTTGGGTTCCCGGGGGAACTCCGGCCCGGAGGCCAACCCCTGAGGCGCGCGTCTGAGTAACGGAATGGCCCCTTTCGGGGATGAGGACTGGTCACCTTCCCCCGGATGTGCCTTGAACCCGAATCCCCCAACAACACCCCCTCCTAAGACCATTACCACTGCAAGGACCAGTAGGCACCACCCGGGTCGTCAGGGGGCCCTCCAACGGTCGGCCAGTAAGTTCAGGGCGATCAGTATGCACCAACAGGTCCAACACAGTAAAGAACAAATCTCTCGCTCTCTCTCTCTTTCTCCCGCACTCTCAGTCCACAGGACGCACAGGGTAGACGGCAGGCGGTCCAGCTCACGCTTTCGAGCTAGCAGAGCGGGCTTCTCCTTTCGTCAAGAAGCACGGAGCCCCTTAGAAGGACCCATTGTGCTTCGACCGGATTCTGCAACTCTGGCCTTCTTGGAGGCAGTGCGAGTCGCGGCCAAGACCTGTCGGGCGTAATGGACCTCTACCTCTTCCCAACCTCACCGGAGCACAGTGTCTCTGGCACTTTCGCCTCTTGAATCTGCGCAGAGGTTTCGTCCACGATCCGGGCCGCCTGAAAGTGCGAGCTCAAGCATGTTGCCGGATATCAAACAGCATCCACGCCAGTCACCATGGCGGAAGTCAGACGCAGCTCCGAATGGGATTTGACGCGGCTTCGTGAGCGCAGGGTTCGCGGTAACGAAGAGCCGGCTAAGCATTCAGTTGCAACGGTAGCACAGGCTGAATGCTAAAGTGCACAAGTCTGGGAAGTCCAGCTGCTGGGATAATCTTTGCAGCTCTCGATGTGAGGAGATACAGACTTGCACACGGATATTTTGCAGAGGAAGTTCTCTTCGAGAAGCTACCCTGCCGAGGCGACGGGTACAGGTCAACAGGTCGACGACCTAACCCCTGTGCAGAAGCAGAAGTCTCCCCAAGAGTTTAGCTAGTCGCCGACGATTCTGCAAGTGCGCACTTGGGTTCAGACAAGGCATGCAGATGCAAACCACATGGATTATGCGGAGCACCCGAGTGCTGTGCAACAGAAGCCACATCTCTGCCCCTTTGTGGATCACCTGCTCACATGAGCTCTGCTGGTCCTTGGTAGCTTTCGCGCCCGACTGCAAGCTCTCGTGAGCTAAAAAACAAAAGAATACACCGAGAAGCGACCCTGCTGCATCGCCATGCACCTCGGGTAACATCATTGCTGGGCTGACGGACTCTAGGTTTCAGGAGACTGCAAGGCCAAGAGACGTTTCCAGCACCTCCAGAACCTTGGGTGGGCATCCGACAGCGTCGCAATATATGCAGCTGAATTCGACTCCTTTGGACCCCTGCCTGCATGATGTCGGGCCTGATGCAGTTCGCACAAGGGTAAAGAAGCGGTGCAGGAAACATCACAGCCCATGAAAAGAACGCCTGCAACACACATTCCCTATCACAAGGCTCACGCAATGGCACACGACGTTTAAGCAAAGCCAAACTCTGAGCGAACATGTGTTCAGCCAGCCTGTCAGCGGGATGCAACCGATAGCAAGAATCGCCGATGTTCTCGATAAGTTGGGAAAGTTCCTTACAGGCCGTCTGCAGCTTGCACATGCAAATGACATGGCACAGCTGGCACAAATGTGCGACAAGCTCACACCCGGAGAAGTTTCATGGTCTGGCACCAGCATTGGTCATGCTGCATGCTTTGCTCTTGTCGCCTGTGCCCTTGCTGCTTGCATCACTCGCACACTTCGCCTTTCTCTCTGTCGTTCCAGTTTGGGGATCCAGAGCCCCTCCCAATGCCAGGTTCAGTCGTGGCTCAGGCTCAGCTTGGCTTGGAGTTTGGTTTATTCTGATGGGTTGCCAAACCTGTTTCACTTACTCGGGTAGTTGTGGTCCATGTTGCTCGGCCCGGCTTTCCAACGGGATCCTCGTGACAGCTCACACTCTGGCGAAACATAGATGGATCTCTGGAGAAGCTGCAAATGCTGCTGAAATACGCCTGAAATGCTGCAAGCCTAGGCCTTTGTAGTGACGTTACCCCCTACCCTGATTAAACTGAGCCCAAAGAGCTCAGAATCCTCGTAGCACAAGGCCAGCGCAAAAGCTCGTATTGACCCAATGTTGGCCCGAATATCAACGTCAGTAGACTTGAACCCTCTATCGACTTGGTTTACGCGCCAATAGCAATGATACGGAATGATGCTGGAACAATTATGGAAGCCCAAGCATCGAAGAGTGGTATTGCAACTGCACATCGCAGTGCGATTTGGTTGCCCGCAGGGTTACGTGTTGAGCTTAAGCTGCAGCTGCGAAGACTTGGCTACTGTCATGTGTACTCCCATGCGATCCCCAATGCTTGCTGGAATTGCAATCCCAATGCCAGCAAGCCTACCACAGGCCTTAGTAGTGACGTTGAGTCTTGAGGCGGCAATGTTGGACAGTCTTGCTGGGCCAGTGCCGGGATATGACATTGGGACGGAATGCCAAGTTTGCGTGAAACCAAGATTGACACTGCGATTTCTTGTGGCATTGCATCCTGCACCGGTTGATCATTTGCGTCAAGCGACAATTTTGGCTGCAAATGAGTTGTCCAGGCATGCATGCGTACTCGGCGCGGCTTAATCAGCCAAGCATCGCTGCTCTCTGTCGGCCAAGTAAGCTGTTGCAAGCTGCCCCTCCTCATCATCTTCAGGATATTCGCTCTATCCATGCCATCAAACGGCTTGACATCCTGAGCAAAGCAGTTGCTTGCACACATACCAGGCTAGCGGTACAGAACGTAAACCAGAGGTGTACGCAAAGCCAAGTAGCCGTGAGGGTGAAACCTTGCAGGAGGGCAGAAATCCGACGCTCGCAGTCATGAGGCCTTTTACTCGTGAGGCCGAGATGTACATCCTCGTGCAAAACGTCCGCGATCGACAGCATTATTCATTGCAGTTCCGGCTTCGTTACTGCAGCTTCGATGCTAAATAATGCCCCCAGGGAAAAGATGTCAGCAGCACATGACCTGTGGAAGGAAAGCTGAACGAACCATGATGCCAAAAGGACGACAGAAGCAACGAAGTGGCAGAATAGTAAGCTCCCCGCGGCGCACGATTCAGTCCTTGAGTGCACGTGAAAATACAATTTGTCACCACCGCCGTTCACCGTTTGGAAATGAAGCCCTGCTAAAAGCACAAAGGACGAGCCATGGCAACACTTTGGAAGACATTGTTCCAAGCCCAGTGTCCAGTTGCTATCTCTGGGGCCATCCACCTCAAGCTTCCGCCCATAGTGTGTTCTGTCTTGTACAGGAACCTGTCCACCAGGAGGAATGCAGCGTCTCTGCATGTCGTTGTCTCATTTCGCTGCAGATGCCTTGCAAGACCAAAGTCACCTAGCTTTGCTCTGGGCAAAAGGTTGCCGTTCTCCACAAACCTTAGGATGCAAGCAGACGTACATCATGCACATTATCACTTTGCACGGCTCGAAGTCCCACTCGGTCCATGCACTCCAAGCTGCACATTTGTACCCTTGAGGTCACCATGCACCTCAGACAAAATTGACTAACAAGCATGCAACAAGTTTTTTTTCCTTGTGTCTGGGCCCTTGGCGAGGGTTTTGTCCTGCTGGTGTAGATACCGAAGTGCCAAAGAAATGCCAAGCAGGATGTTCAGCTTGCCTGCCAGATGCACCAAGGCCAGAAACAATGCGCCGAAGTCTGGCTTGCCCGCTCGACTCAAGCCTGTATCGCATTCTATGGGGTGTGGTTGACCTTTGATCCAATCCTGCAGAAGAGCCATGACGATCTCTGACTCTGCTGAGGGGAAACATCGAACACAGCTCAGATGGAGACATGCAGGGTTTGACCCTCGATGAGTTCGAAGACCAAAGCCATGTCGTTCGTGGACGGCCTCACGTCAGGCCAGGCTGCCATGCAGGCGGCGCGCGGCGCGCGTCCAGCCCGGAGAGTCTGAGCTTTGTACACGACATGGGCCCCGAGGAATAGGACGATGTTAGGATGACGTAGCCGACGGAGTGTTCGAAGCTCGTTCAAGAGCGGCAAACTGGAAGCAGCTCGCAACCAGCTCACAAGTTTGTGCCACACGACATGCAATGAACATACGCATAAACAATGGGATACAGCGGATAGCCATGATGATGAACGAAGGTGCAGATTGCCAAGTGGCTGCTCCTTCTTGTCTGCCTTGGGCATCTTGACTGCCTCGAAAAAACGTTCAATCTCCACAGCACGACTTCTGAACGTAGTGAGGTGGAACTACTCTGTCGAACGAAGGCAATGGCTCCTGCAAGTACCCTGTTGCAACTGCTGCAGCATTGACCGGAGCATGGCATGCTCACACAAGGCCAACCTGTTCTCTTAACCTGGCAGCCAGGTCACGACCTGAGCACCGTAGTACGTGCCTTGAAAGACGGTGCCGAAAGTACCGCTGCCTCCAATGCACTCTGCAATGCCGAACGAACAGTGCGAGGACGCTCGCCACCGCAGGCTTCCGCTGGCCTAATGTGTGGCTCTCGAACAAGCCTCAAGGTGCTGCAGTGGGAGACAGCTGCAGCAAAAACAACACCGCTGGGCCATGGCAGACGAAAAGGATTTCCAGCATGGCACATTCCTTTCCTGGACACACACAACTACCAAAAAACTGAAGGGCTCCCCAAAGAGGTATCGATGTCATGCACAGGCTACTTCCGTATAGCAAGACTGGCATAACAAACGTGAAAGCCACAAGCAGCCACAAGCAGGAGCAGTCTTAGGGGCGTTCTTTTTTGTGGAAGCGTGCGAGCGGATGGAGACCAGCCACTTGCTGTCGGGGTGCGGCGCGGTGTGTCAACGCGCGTCACGCAGGCGATTTTAGATAGAGATGGAAAAGCAGGCGGTACAATTCAGAACGGCTGGAGACAAAAAGAGGTGCACGATGCTCAGGTCTTGGGGAGAGCTGGAAGTGCTGTGCTTTCATGCCGCGCTTTGTTTAATGGTGTTCGCCAATCGCCTATCCAAGCCCACCTGTCAAGGAAAGGAAGAAGGTTAGCAAGCCTGACATAAGCTCGCAAGTAACACCAGAAAGCTGCAGGAGATGTTATGGGAAAACCGCTCGAGGCTCACGGCGACAATCCCAAAGTCGCATCTGAGGAACAGAGCTGCTGTGGATCTACGATCCAGTGCTCACGCCGTCCCAAGTCCACCAGTTCTCGGAAGCTCTTGCCTTGACCTTCACTGGTGGCATCTTCGAAGGGAAATCCGCGACTGCTGCGGTATAGATGAAACCAAGCAGCTGTCCACCTCGCGCTCTGGTGGAGGCACGTCGAAGATACTGCTGCTCTTGTTCTCAATCCCTGCACTGGATGTTAAAACTGGTACACTGCCGCTACCGAGCAGAACAGAGGATGTCGTCAAATCCGAATACTCCACTTAAAAATTAACTAGGAAGAATACACTTTTGAACATGTGGTCTTCCACGTACCCCGCTTTGCAAGCATCAGACGAACATGCACACGCACATGTTTAGCTTGCATTGTCGGGCACGGGCGCTGGATGGTGCAAGATGCATGCTGAATGCCGCATGACCCTGCCTGCCAACCGCACCTGGTTCCTTGCCTTTGAAATCACGCTGGCATCGTCCGAACCACCAGATTGGACATCCTTATCAGATGTGTGCACTACACCGACTGCGAGGCACATGCTTCAATAGACAAACCTGACCCTTCTCCTTTCCGGCCAACATGAAGCGCTGTCCAGGCATCGCTCTGAATGAGACTGTCACTGACACCCGGCGGGCGCTCTTGCTGGTGCTGCCTTGCCTGTTGGTGACACAAAGAGCGCTGACTGTTGCTGGGCTTTTGCAAACCATGGCTGTCCTGCCCCGCATCCTGGTTAGCACCCGCAGCATGTGCAGCCGAGTGGTGGTGCACCACTTGCTGCGCCTTGGGCATCGGCGGCACCACACTCTAGCAATCCTCTGAAACACCTTGCAGTAAAGCTGTCGCAAGTAAGCCTCGGACGCTGCGAGATCTTGCCGGAGAGGAGTGCACACCCACCTTGACGATCTTTCGCTTTATCAAAGCAGTGGCCACGCTTTCGCACAGCTGCATGCACAGCATGTCTAGTCTTGCAGCTGAGTAGCCACGTATTGCGGCATCTCACTCGCTGCAGCCAGTCCGCAGCCGCTCCTCGGACTGCCGAGTGATGGAAGCTCCAAACAGGCACAGCGGCTTCCCACCGACGACGCAACCCTGCAGACCCTTCTTGCCGGACGCAGGCAGGATGATCGTCTTGCAGGCAGGGTGCAGGCAACAGCATCTTTCGCCATCACCTTGAGAAAACTGGGACATTTGCCTGTGTATGGTTGCTGAAGCTCCTCTCTCCAGCGTTCCAAGTTTCAACCTGTAGCAAGTCGAAGGATCACCAGCTCTGCTTGTACATCTCCACCTGCCAGTATGAATTGTACTGTTGCATTCTGGTCTCTACTTAGACTCTACTTGTGTAGCATGGCCTTGTTCGGTGCAAACATTAGCTCGAGCTTGCTCCACCCTGGAGCCGGAAGCCGCATCAACAGATCGGAAGGCCTGCGGCTGCCCAAAAAAATGGAGACCCAGCAGAAAGAAGCGGGAAGCAAGCAAAGCAAGCAAAGCAAGCAAAGCAAGAAAAGCAAGAAAAGCAAGGCATGTGCCTGCCGGACTTCTCGTGTTCTGATGTCGCTGCTGCCGAGACAAGCTGCCAGCAACTGACATACCTCAGAGCTCGGATTCTTTGGAGGCAGACCACACCAACGGAAATTTCGAAGCTCTCACTGCCCAAGCACTGGATCGTCGGCTCGGCTGCCTCGAAGGTCTCCAAGGCATTTGGAGATATGCTTGCGCTGGTCCTCGGTCGGCAGCAAGACATGGTCACGAAGGTCGCATAACTGCGCTGTGATTGTGCCACTAAGTGTCCAAAAATGCCCAGGAGTCGAAGGCCTTGTGCTCTGCGATGCTCACGTGCAATGGCTCCCGCACAAGACCGGCCTCCGTCAAGGTCTTTTCCAGGACCTCCTCGTGGCTTCTTTGCACCTGGGAGAACCTGTCAGTTTCGGGAGCTGCTCAACAGCTACTCAGCTACTCAAGCCCAGCTACTCAAGCCCCGCCTGGAGAAGCGTTCGCAGGTGACAAAGCACATCAGGCCGATGTAGCCGCTCACCAAGAGAACAAACACCTGAACAACCCACGGTGTCCCTTCCCTGCGCTTTACTTCACTTTGCCGGCTCTCCGGTCGGTCTTTCGGTTTGCAGCATGATGCGTACTATGCCACTGTGTAGACACGCTGCCTGCTCAGTGCTTCCGTCGGGGATAATTGGGGTCAGTGCGTAAGAACTAGAGCCTGATTGCAGCTGTGTTTGGAGAAGTTCCACAAAGGGGCTGTTCCGGACTTCTGACTGGCCATGCTGGGACCTGCTCAGAGCTGCTTGAAGCAGTTAGTTACACCAGGTCATGCAGCATGGGTCAGGCGCTTGGTGCCAAAGCGCCGATAGTACGGGTGCGGAATGGAGCTGAGCCACGCACTTATGCACGCACAGCGCATATGTTGAAGCAACTCGAGCGAGATGGAGGCATTGCTTTCGGGGGGCCGGTCACAGTCTGTTCCACAGGAACCCTCCAGTCAGCGTACAAAGACTGCTTGACACGTGGGCCCACTCTGCGTTGCCAGTTCCTGCTGCAAGATTGATTACAGTCCAGGCGGCGATAGACCCCGCACCAGGTCTACCTGACACTTCCGAGTGCCCGTATGCTGCTGGACTTTGCGGACGAACATGGAAGAGGAGCAGCAATGCGATCAGGATTCCATCGAGAAGAAAAAGGGCGGCAAGATGGGTGGCTGCATCGATCAAGCAGGAACAGGCCAGCAGGATCAGGCAGCCTTAGACGGCACACAATGCACGCGACTCCTGGGCCCTGCAGTGAGGCCTCGCATTGCTCGCCAGAGGGCGCGAGAATCGCCGCCCGGTCAATGCCAAAAGCTTGAAACCCACTGAGTGCCTTGGGCTGAACATGATGCGATCGCAAGGAGCATGAGGCACCAGGCGGAAAGCAGCACGCGAGATTGAAGTCAAGAAGCCACGTCAGATTCATTGCCCGATTGGTTGCATCTGCAATGGTGAGTGGGAGGAACATCAACCTTGTCATTTCACGGCCCATTCGTAAGCGCAGCCCGCAAAGACCCTCGCTCCTGCCTGACGGGAGCTGTTTGCCAGGACCAACTGAAACCAACAGATCCGATTCTTCGCTAGACTGTCCAAACGGCCGACCAAGCCACATCCCATTCAAGACCAGCGCCTGAATACCAAGCAGAACGCTTCTACATAATATGCCGTGGAAAATGCCGTGAGCAACTTCAAGCGATGAACCTCCAGACTTGCTTGAAGCACAGACCTGACTTGCCAAATCATGCGAGCACCCGCCTGGACGATAAAAAAACGTTCCAGACAGTCCTTGGACGGTCCAAGAAACATAAATCACGAACAGACGGCCGTAAATCTCTCTCCAACAGACAAGCTAGCCTAGAAGCCATCCCGTTATTGCCTTTCAGGTACTGGACCTTGATGCTCAACCAAGTATCAAAGCTGACTTTCGGATAAAAGCATGCTGACAAGATCGATGCTATGAGGCACCTGAGCGACTTGGCCGAGAACGGCAGCCAGACAACCCAGAATGGGAAAACAGTGCAAGGGCAGATTTCGAAAGGATTCCGTGCTGAGGACCTTGCACTGTGCTCACGGCCACAGTTGCCGAAACGGCATCGAGATTGTCCTCGTCTAGCTGCAAGACCGCACCTTCACCGAAGCACCAAACAGAACGGATGCACCAGCTGCATGGCACTAGATCTCTCGTGAGTTTGATGCTTCAGAAACGATACGCTCCAAGCCAGAGCACTTGTCAATCCGATGGAGCATGTTGCACACGATATCCGAAACCAAAGCGCAAACAGCTCGCCCTGTTGGCGACTGGCCTCAGTCTTGCAGATTTGCACCCGCAAAAAATCGAATTAAGCCGGCGTGGGCACACCAACTTCTGGCAAGCATCCTGCTCTGCGCGGAGCTTGTCAGCCGTACCGAATGCCCATCCTTACAGCTTCCGTCTGTTTGGAAAGAGCGCAGAAGCTCCGCCCACGTCTTGTCCGCCAAGTTTCGTGTGGTAAAACTGGTGGTGCCACCTGGCTGCCTCAGAATCAAGCGCGAACCGTGGAAGGCTTCAGAAGAACTCCACAAGAGCACCCTTTCACAAGTCCTCAAGTAATGCGCTCAGCTGCAGAGATGGAAGGATCTTGGGGTCTGTCAGCACCGGCTGGACAGGTGAGGGCGCAACCCTCATTCTGCTGAGGTTCAATACGGATTCAGCTGGCTACTGTCAGACTTCTAACTTAAGTACAACGTTGCACTTTGTACTTCGTCCATCGCAGGAGTGCCGTGGCTTTTGAATTGAAGGCAGCCTGCCATTGAGCCGGTCATTGCGGCAAGAAAACCGTTCGATGCAAGTTACGCCAGAAAGCCCGTGCAGCAGCTGTCCTAGGTCTACGAGTCTATGACTACATTCCGAAACACAGTTCACGAGGGACCATCCTCGTCCCAGTCTTCGTCAAGCTCCTCTTCCTCTTCCTCCTCCTCCTCTTCTTCCTCTTCCTCACCCTCTTCTTGACCCTCTTCGTCCTGACGCAAAGACGGCAAGGACTGCAGGCCTACTCTTCATGTTGTGATCTTGGGTCCTCCGGAATAGCAGCCACGCCACTCACTCCCAGCTCCCTTTGCTCTTCAGTCTCCCTGAGCACATTCTCCCACTGCGGTGGTCTACTCGGTTATTGGTAAAGCTTGTAAGAAAGGATTCGCACTCCGAAGCAAATGGCTGAAGCTGATGTTTTATGCAGCCGCGCGGCGTGTGGGTCGCCTCCTGTGCCGGTAAGGCCTCAGGGCCCTCCAGATGTTGTCGGCTGGAGGCGTCAGTCAAGCGACTTCTCTCAGAGCCAGCCTGCTTGAGATCTTCCTCGACCACATCAGGTTGTACATTCGCAGCCATGGAGCTCACGAGCGACTTCCTGCGGCTGGTAGAATCTTGCAACTCATTGCTTTCACCGTTGGATGACGCTTTCCCCACTGTCGTTGCGAATGTGTCCTCTTTGGATCCCACAGTATCTTCTCCAGCATAAGACCCCGCATCAGCTGCACCATCTACGAGGGGGTAGATGCGCTCTGCTGCGTCCGCTGTTTCTTGGCCACCGGAAGATACAGGCAAGCTGGAATCCTCTGCCACACTTACAGTTTCAGCCTGCGCAGTGTTCCTGTCGTCCTCCTGAACTGCAGACGCTTCTCCAGCCACGAGCTCAGCGTCAGCTGCATCATCTGTGGTGGAGTGCACTGCCGACTCAGGCGCGGCAACGTGACGGTCCAAGCTGGAATCCTCCGCCACGGCCTCTGCCACAGTTGCAGTTTCAGCCTGCGCAGCGTTCCTGTCTTCCTCCTGAACTGCAGATGCTTCTCCAGCCACGAGCTCAGCGTCAGCTGCATCATCTGTGGTGGAGTGCACTGCCGACTCAGGCGCGGCAACGTGACGGTCCAAGCTGGAATCCTCCACCATGGCCTCTGCCGCAGTTACAGTTTCAGCCTGCGCAGTGTTCCTGTCTTCCTCCTGAACTGCAGATGCTTCTCCAGCCACGAGCTCAGCATCAGCTTCATCATGTGTGGTGGAGTGCAGTGCGGTCTTCTCCACTTCTTGGCCACCTTCCGGAGAGCGGGACGACCCTGGTGCAGCAGCGCGCTGGTCCAAGGTGGAATCCTCTGCCATGGCCTCCTCCGCTTCATTTTTAGGCTGCGCACTGCTCATGTCTTCTGCAGCCACGAGCTCAGTTTCAGCGTCACCTGGGCCGGAATGCATTGAGGTCTCCTCCGCTTCTTGGCCACCACTAGCTGGGTGCTGGTCCAAGCTAGGATTCTCTGTCACGTCTGCAGGCTCGGCCCGTGTAGTCTTCAAATCTGCCGCACTGACAGGGGATGCTCCTGCCGGCAACTTGACCTCTTCGACAGCTTGTTTCTCTGCAAAACTATCGTGGCCGTCACTTTCTGCCAACACGACCTCTGCGAAGCTCGTCATTCCCTCGTCCTCCATCTGATCAAGCGCATTCATAAACTGATTTTCCCCTCTTGCGCTGTTCTCGGCGTCAGTGTCAGGTGCCGGCTGAACATCGAGAACCTCGTCAGAAGCTTCCGTGTCTATGCCGGCATCAACATCCTGCCATTCAGCATGACCCAACACTGCGATGGTTTCAGCAGGGAAAACTATATCACGAACAACTGCACATGCGGTGAGGATTCCAGGACCGTGAGGCTGTGGGTGCAGACTGCTCCGACCTTCAAAGCAACAACTCTTTTTGGTGACTGCTGTACCTGGGGCACCGAACCCACCCCCTCCCCCTACTTCCACGACTTTGTGATGGCTCAGTATTCCTTAACCGCCGTTGACTACAGGTCCCCTCGCTGACCCAACCGCCCGCTGTGTCGGAATATCTTCATCGAAACGAGAACGTTGCAGTGACAACCACCGCCGGCTCTCACGTCCTTGGCCTGTGCATTCTCATGGCTCGTCTCCCGCTCACCAATGAGCCTCCGCAGGAGCCAAGTGGCACAGATTGTCTGATTCTCAAAAAAGCCGTTTACTCGACCCAAGCGTGCTTCAGCGGATGCATCTGGTTTGCGCATGTGTACATGGGACAGAGCTTCCGGAGTACGATGCACTGCACAATAAGAAATCCAGTGTCCCAAACAGGAGCATCCCTTGCCTTTCGATCTCCCATCCTCTCCTGCCGATCCTGAAGTCGAGACAGAGTCGTCGGACTCTTGGCCACAGGTCATTTGAGGCTTGCGCTCGTTCTCCTCGTCCGGGAGGGTGCCAAGGAGGCGCTGAGCAAATTCCATCGAAGGAGAGCCCGACGTGGCAGTGCGCAGTGACACAGAAGCTTACTTGACCCAGCTTCTAGGCCAAGCACGACCATGTCGAAAACGCCACTCAAATCCGCAGCAAAGCCATACCTGCGCCAGGGACTCGCGGAAGCGGAGTTTCCCTTTGGTCCCTTCCTCGGGCTCTGACTTCGGAATGACCTTGGTCTGTACCTTATCAAGGAACTCACAGCTTCCCCCGAAAACCCCGTTGGGACAGAGCAGAGACAGCGACTGAAAGGACCAGCTTCCTTCTTTCCACGTAGAAGGTGGCGCCCCCATCAGGAAACTTCGCCTTCCCAGTGCAGGCTGAGGGTCAGCCAAGCTTTGATTCTGCGCACCTAGTACGCAACAGCTACTAGCTGCGATTTCTTTACAGAGTAGTAGCGACTGAAATTCGGGCACCCAGTTTAACCTAGTTCAGAAGCTTCGATGCTCAAGAGCTGGGGCTGGGCCTTGTTAAGGCTTCCAAAATTCTCCCAGCTTCCGAGCTGCATTGGCATCACTGTGTTGTGAACAAGCAGTGGCATCTTCTGAGGTTTCTGCCATGAGCTGAATCGATGCACGAGACCACGGCTAGCCTGCAGCTCCCGGAAGCGTTCCTGGAAGTCGCCAGACCTGAACCTGCCAACATCTGCCAATAATCCTTGCAAAGTCTATCGCTTCTTGCATTGTCTGGTGTGACAAGCCGGAACTGAACGCAAAACACAGAACCACAGGAACAAAAGTGAGTCTGCTTGCACGGCGTGCAGTGCTAGGGTCGCTACCCTTCGAGCAGTTCGTTCTGAAGTTCGACCGCTTGCTGTCTGGCGCGCGGCAGCTGCAATCACAGTCAGCCATGATGTGCCATGCCCGACTCCTCTGATAAACATCTCGGTTTCTTGCTTTGCGTTGTCGAAGACGGTGCAGTCAGAGACTCGCATCATTAGAATGCTGCAGCCCTGCCTGGTAAGCTTCACCTTCGCGGCACCGTTGATCTGCACAACACATGCCATGACTGCCAGAAACCCGTTTTTGTCACAGGCCGGACATATTCCACAGGTCTGGATTTTAAGATGTCCCGGCAGTGCAGACTTCTGCGCAGCAGTGCAATGGCGTGCCTGCTTTGTTGGCAGATCGGCACCTGAGCTTGAGTTGCTTACGTCGAGAAATAAAGCGCAGTAAAAACTTGCATTGCTTGTTATCAATGAATTCGGACCAACGCAGGCGCGTGGCCGAGAAAAAGCAAGCGACGCCGTTTGTGGAGCTTCTCACCATCCTTGGGACAAGGCCACGTTGCAATGGTTCCACTCCTCTCTCCCTGAAATCCCACAAGTCTGCTGATGTGTTGCAAACCAACTTTCCGTTTGTTGCATGATACGCTCCTTGCTGTTTTTGCAAGTGCTACTGACTAGCCAATGAGTCATTACGAGTTTTGCTGGGATGTTGGGTCGGGCATGAAGCACTTGACAGCTTGCAATCTGCTGCGAGAGGTGGTTGCCTTGCCGCTACTGCAAATTGCGCGGTTGTCTGTGACCTAACTGAGGCAAAAGCCTTGAAGGAAGTGAACGCACCTCCCTGTCGTGATTCGACCTGAGCCGGAGGCCCAGACCCTTTGAGCGAAAACCATGCAAGATTCTTTCAAACTGGCTACACCGACATGCATGTCCACATGAAAGCACACATAAGCACACACACACACGTACCGTATCATCGGTGCACATTGGTACGCTCAACTCCCACTTGCAACGAAGATTTGGGGACCTGAATCCGTTGAATCCTGAACTTTGCAAGATTCCATTCTGCAAAAATGCGCTGCGATGATGGTCCTAATTGAGCTTCTGATTTTCGTCTGACACCATGGCAGAACACAAGTACACATCTGCGTCCCCAGACTTTTCCTCTCACTTACCATAGCTTCGTTCCAACAAACATTTGGTTTGGTCTTCGCTTCCGTTGACATCCACTCCATATTCGTAGTCGATCTTGCATGCATAAACGGAAGGCCTTCGGATACATCATTGGCTGCGTAATGCAGTCATCAACTCCATTGTTTGAGGTATCAGCCTGCCGTGCCTTCTTTCACGATTTGACCCGGAAGCTCCACTGCTTTCTTCGGTTGCTGAAGTGTGAGACCGAGCCTAATTCGTTGACCTGAAACTTTGTACTTCGCCTGAGCACTTGCTCCACGTCCGTACCATTGCACAGAGCTTCACTGAGGACATTTTCATTCTTTGCTTGCAAAACTCCAACCACCCCCTCCAGTGAGGGGCGTGTGTATGCAATTGTGTGTGCGTGCGTGCGTGAGTAAATGGTTGGAAGGCTCGGTGGGACTGGTCCGTTACCCTGGAACTTATCGCACGCAACTTCCTTCTTTTTGACTTTGACCGTCGCGTGGAAGTCCGGAAGTCTACCGACCTCGAATGTAAAGGACGGACAACCGACGAAAGGTCACAGGCGACTGTCGGAGGTCAGTGAGACATGACTACACGGACGGACTCGTAAGAAAGAGCAACCGACAACTTCGAGCCAACGGCTGCAGGAGGGCAGTTGCCGTTGCATAATACCCGAGCACATCCGCCGAAGCTCGGTGGGCTAGTCCGTTGGTTCCCTTGCTGTGACCGTTGTGCAGGTCCGGAGGGCGACATCAAGAAAGTGAGACCTGGGATGGACGAAGACCGAAGGTTTAGTCCCTTTTGTGCAGGAAAGATCGAGCCCAAACGCTTGACCGGCAACGCGAGCCGCCCGCTGGCCCGAGTCATGATCGCCCCATCAAAAGCAATTCGACCAGACATAGATTCGTCAGTACCCACAGCATGAGGGCAGACAGAGGCAACCGACTGGATTCACCGGTTGTCAAAAATCCATGGGTGCAGGCTGCGACCGTGGCGGCAAAAGAAGCATGCGTGATGGGAGGTTTGCACCCACCGAACTGGCCTAGGGAGGGACTGCAGGACGGAGGAAACGCCCACTTCGTTCAGACTGTACGTGAGGGTGCAATACATGTCACGGACCAGTTGCGACACGGCCATCCACACCTTCTTCGTACCGCTTCCTTCAGTCTCACGGGACTGAGAGTCGGGACGGACGGCACTTGCAAGGCCACTGTCACAAGCTTGTCCCCAACTGATTTGTCATTGAAGCGATTGATAGTGGAGTGACGAACATACTCGAGCATCGTTCGTTCGTCGCGGGAATGTCGAGGTACCTCGTCAAGAGAGCTGCGGACGGGGCAGGCAGGACTGCCCGTCTTGGCCTTCCAAGATTCCATGAGGGTATGCACCTTGTGGTGACTCTTGTTGCCCTTTTGCATGTTTCTTCTCTAGTGGCCGAGATCTAGTGAGCAGAGCCTAAAGATCTTCTGTTAGATTCTCGGTTCCCCGATCGGGTCCCTGCGCCGCCTGCCTTCTGCTGTTGCATCCCTGTCCACGTTAGGCTGCTCTGAGTGTGCCATGCGTGCATTAACTGCCCGTTGGACACTCGTTTGATCTCGTATGTTTGTCGAGGCCAGCTGATTCAGCCTCTTCTGACCTGACTTCGATCCCGCGGCAGCGTGAATTCCTTCACCTGTCTGGTTTGGCCCCTTCTCTTCCAGTTGCTAACATTGCTGGGATTCCAACCAGTCTGCCATTTCGCCATACCTCCTCACTTTCAACCTCGGTCTGCGCAACTGCAACCCACAGGCTAGATGTCGATCGGGGCAATAGCATTCAATGCAGCCATGTCAACCATTTTCTCAAGAGTCTAACATCACACGAACATGTGATAAATCCGTCAACGACGGATCCTATGATCCTGGACGGGCCTGACCCCTTAGGGATCATGCCACTCTAGTCACTGGTTCAGCCTAAGCTCAACGGTCCTGGGTCAAGGTGAAACGATTCTGCAGGAAACGAATCGCAGCCTGCTGAGAAACGTGCTGCCAAGCGTTTGGTCCCTCTAAGACCGGATCTAAGAACCGAAGGGCCGATGACCTCAAGAACGCGATAACATTTCAGCTGTACAGTTATACCTGAAAGCTGACACTGATGCCGACGCTGTTGTCGATGATGCTCACACGTGCTACCATTTCAGACAGTACTGCAGAATGCCTTGCTCACAAGCTCATGACAGTCCTTGGGTAAATTAAGTTTCCGTGCAATAGTTCGGGACATGTCTCAGAAGGTCATCGTGGTCTTAACCCGACGACTACTACTTGCATCGACACCACATAAAACAAAGGCTATTCAAACTGGCAATACATGATTCCCCGGAGGAAACTGAACCCGTCGGTCCCTGGTTCTGGCGCACGCGGGCAAGGACTCAAATCGAGCCAAAACAAATCGTGTTACTGGTATGGAAAGGTATCGTACTAAGGACAACATCTGAAAATAGCTTGAATACTGCTGAACTGATAGCAGCAATGAAGATGGATAATTTCGCTGCCAGGAATTTCGATCAAACTGTTTCCAGTTTCTCACGAGACCTTGTCCTGCACTCCTTTGAGTAATTCCGGAGGCCAAGTTCGCTCTTGGAAACGCGACAGCTTGGCTCCATGCCCAACTTTTGATTCATTGAATGTCCTCGGCACATGGAAGGCCGTTTGAGCAAGTCCACGTCTCCAAGGCCAACAAACACCTTGGGTGCTTTGGCTAAAAACCAGTTCAGCTTCAGCTCCCGCGTCGACAGAGCCACGCAGAGCTATGCCAGCTGTACCGAATTCGGGGTCTGCAGTGGAAAATATTCCGCCACGCGATGGGCATTGTCCGACGATCATAGAAATGCAGACGTCCAAAACACATTGGAGCCATGATCGTGCCGGCTATTCAAACCTCGGCTCCTATTACGGCCCAAAGTTGCCCGTGGGCGCTGATGCCCACAGGCCAGAAGCTCGAGGCTCCCCGTTTCAAACATGCACACTGCTGGCACACTGCGCACTAATAACTGGATCTAATGGTGGTTCGAGGTCCAGTCTCGGTTACCGGGCGCCTGAGCTGGTTAATATGGCAAAGAAATGAAGCTACACAATGACTCACCCATGGTGCAAACTGCACATGGCAGGCATTAGAAGGCACCATCGGGCGCCAGTGCTGTGGCGCACTGGAGAACTCTACGAAGCAAAAGGTGCACCTTTGGCTAGTCAAGAACACTGGTCCTGGCCCTGGTCAGGGTGTGCGATCTCGTCTTCGAGACTTGCCTCCACAGTTTGACGCAGAACACTGAGGCAAATGTTGCGGGATTTTTACTGAGGGGTTTCTGAACATGCGGCCTTGGCTTAACAAGCAGCGTACAGTCGCTCTCCTCCAACCTAAGCACAGTTCAGACGTCCATGGGAGTCTCTGCGAGCGCAGCTGCAGCTGAAGTGCTGCATGAGAAGGGTTCCCTTTCGCGTTCCCGGACCCACGATCTTGCCATGCAGGTTCTTGGACTCATCGTGCTCATCAAAATGCAAGGCCTCAGCCCGAGAGTGATGATGCAAAGACCCGCATGCCCTCCTGCCATCTGTAATGATACCATACCTATCACGGAGCTTGGCTGAGGCAGCAGCACGGTTGGACATACAGAGGTGAAGCCGCACCCGATCACCAGCCTCGAAATTATGCAACCTGGGCAGACGGTATGCTTTGCACCTGAGGACAGTCACTGATCCATTAGGTTGCCATACATTGTATTGCCGTTTGGGATTCATGGTTGCTCTGTTCAGTACTACCAGCGACGGCAGCTGCCCAAGATGCCTAGGATCAGTCCAGGAACGGATCCTTCTTCTTGCCCACATCGTGAGGGACCTCGACACTGCCAGAGTGTAAGCAGTTGCATGCAGTTGCATCATGGCCAACGCAGCTGAAGTGCGAAGTCTTGTGGAAGCAGCGCCTCCTGAGACTTCAGCCTGAGGGCACTACCGAAAAATACCGAGAGCATACTACGGAACAAATGGCCAGTCCGGGAGCATTGGACACAAGCTTTGCTACAAGTGCTCCAAGCTGCAGGTGATAGAACTCTGCGAAGTCCTGGGCTGCCATGGTGGACTCCGAAGAAACAGGTGAAACCGGCCCACTTCTGAGCACGTTCGCTTGTAGCCCCAAGCGGCGATAGAGCCACTACCATCGGCATCGAAAATGCGAAGGATGCCATCGAGTTCGGTCGTTGTCAGGTCGACACCCAATCTGCGAAGAGCGACCTGCCGGATAAACACGCTTGCTGGTGCAGTGGAAACTGAACGGAGTGCCAAGCAATGCAATTACACCAACAGCCTTACAATCGAATGCCAAACTGCGGAACTTCCGCCCACTAGCCATGTTCCGTTCGTTCGCATGTGCTTTGAGGCACCTGAAGCTCCTGGCGGCTGAGCTCCCCGTCGCCGTCAGAATCAATCTTGGCGAAAAGCTCGCCCTCCGGAGCAAGAGATTCAGAAGACGAAGTGGAAAACGAATCTGCGGCTTGGCTACTCAGCCCGACCCTGCAACCTGTCGCTTCTAGCAGCAACTGCAGCTGTATCCGTCGTGGAGCCTCTGTCAAGCCTTCGTTCTTAAGATGCAGCACGAGGCTGTTCATTGCATCATTCCTTGGAACAGGCAGAGAGTGCACTGGCTAGAAACGAGCTAGGCCTGCAGTACACCAGGAGAGCTCAGTTTCGACAAAGCATCAATTGCGACTTCTCCCGAAGCTGCAGCAATCTTGTTTTCAACTGCTCCTGCCAGTCCTGCATGGCTTTCTGCGCCATCTTCTCTTGCTGCAGCTCATGGGCGAGCCTCCAAAGCTCAAGGTGCAAAAACGTCTCTTCGCACGGGGCGAGGGAACGGGAGTGAGGGAGGGAGTGAGGGGGAGGGAGAGACAGACGGACAGACAGACAGACAGACAGAGACAGACAGAGCCAGACAGAGACAACAGAGACAGACAGAGACAGTGACAGACAGGCCCATAACAACGTCGGACTATTGCGTACCGCGAGCGTGAGAGTCACGGACCTAAGCCGCCAAGCGCTCCTCATGTTCGGCATGTGCCGTTAGAGAACGCAAGGAGGACCCGAGAGTATTGGGCCGCCTCAGGCGGAGGCAAGAACAGGGAGAGGTCTCTCAGGTTCAGGTTCAGAGTTTGAGAAGAATGCAGGGACAGAATTTGAGATTCGTGGGCCAGCTCGGCTCAGGAGGGCCCACAAAAAACACGCGAGAGGCTTTGGGAGTGTTGGGCCGGCTAGCTTCTCCATGCAAACCTCCCAATGCGACGTGGGAATGCGCAGCGCGGGTGTGAGTGCAGGGGCCACAACGCGCGTCTTCCGGACTCATCCTGACCCGTGAGAGAGAAGGTGGAGATGGGGCGTGGCGGGCTCCGCCAGGATCCCAAATCGGCCCAATCAAAAGTCGAGAAGACCAGCAAGCCGGATTCAGAACGAGACCGACTTGCATATTTATGTATATCTATCTATCTATCTGTCTATCTATCTCTCTATCTAGATGTTGATTGATTTATACTTATACTCATATATTTATATCTATATCTATATTTATATTTATTTATACATATACATATATAATAATATATATATATATATATGTACATGCACACATGCACTGCTTTAAACCAATGCTACCCAAATTCAGTTCGGCCCCGATGCATTCAGCAGCAAGACAACTCCACAAGAGCCCTTAGAGATCAGAGTCTCGAAACACTTCCAGCACCCCCCCAACTACCCTCTATCATACCCTACATACCACAATTAAGGACCATAAGGGCTCTGTTAAAGAGTACTTGGGGGGTGCTCGTTGACCACAAACCTTAAGCGCTTCAGACCAGGAGCCACTTCGGAGTGTCTTTAGGGGCAGTTGCTTTCTGCCCGCTGGGACGCTTGACTTCCGCGTCAGGCAGGGATGGAGCCTCGCACAAACAAGCCGATTGAAACTTCAGGCAGAAGATCCGGCAGTCGCCGCCAAGAGGCAGTGTTTGACCGACTAAGTTTGGGTCCACCTTCAGCACCCGCAGCCACACTACACCACACTCTGCGCGACACTCTGCGCGACACTCTGCACGCTGCACTCGCCTTGTTGGTTCGACTTTCGAGTCGGCGACTTTGCTCCGTCTTTCCCACCAAAGGGGCTCATTAGGATTCTCCCAATGCTTTTCATGCCTCAGTCTACCACCAACTGGAGGCTCTACAACTCTACAAGCTTTGTAGCCAAACTTCCCCACTGATGGCAAGAATACTTTCTTGCTGGCAGCTGTGACCGAGATTGACCAAGCACATGGACGCTAGCTGTTTGCCCTCTTCGGCTAACCGCAGCCTTCTAGTCTTCCGTACACCATGCTGGGGCTCCTGCTCGTTTCGACTCCCCGGACGCGAGGAGCGTTACCGCATCACTGGGCATCTACCCCCCAAACTTGAACAAGAAGCCTGATTCCTGCGGAAAGCATAGCGGCTCCCGTTTCAGAGCTGCAAATATCAGGTATCCAGGTATCACTCGCTCCGGCAGTGGTCTGAAGACGTGACATGCACAGCGACAAGCTGGGGCTGGGGACTGCTTTCGCCAGCGCCTAGCTGGGATGTCACCGCGCAAATGCACGCGGGAGCTTGGAGCAAATGGCCTCACGGATCTCTCCCATTGTAGATGAAGCTGGGACGGTCAAGGGTACCTCGGAGCTCTGAAGCACAGGATGCCAAGAGGCTTTGTAACGACTTTCTTACGCTGTGTCTATACCACCAAGCGACCCACGCTACTCAGGCACCGTACGTCATGCTTCTGCGGTAATTACAGTAGATATAAGCTCATACACATCCCCCCCTGGCGGATACTCTTCAGGTGGGCCTCAGCTCCACTGACAGCATGTCGGATGCGTATCTTCACAGTGGCCTGGCACTGGCAAAATGGGACACTAACATGCGAAGGGCTTTGCATGGCTTTGCACAACCCCAACCACAGTCCAGAAACGACAACAGGACCATGAGGCTGGCAGCTCGTTGCACTGACGAAGAATGGCCTTTTACTGTAGGATCTTTCTGCCTCCCTGCCGTGACCCTCCTCCAAGAGTTTCTGGACCGATGCATGCTGGAGGGATCAGTACTTTCCAAACAACTCCAGGATTCATGTCCGGATTCTGAGGATGGAAGAGCTGCGCAGTGTGGTATGCAAACCGACAGAAACACTTGCATCCTGAAACTCCTGTTCTGAAACAGTGGTGGTTCAACACGTATGCGTGCACTTCAGAAACCAGTTGCCCGAAAAAGCCGCACACAGTGCAGCCGCAGCTGGTGCCTCCACGCTTCCTTGCGGCGCATCCTGTGAAGTCGCGAAGAATGCTCCAGGGTGCGTGTGCAGGAAGGATGTCTCCACCTGGAGCATGTGAGGATGGCAGAGCGCCTCTGAGAGCGCGAGCGCGCGCCTGTCGAACGGCAGCACGAAGCTGCGCATCCTCCAGGTGAGGAGCCAGCGCTGCGCTCATCCGCGCCAAGCCTCGGCACGTTGCGGAAAAAGGGGCCCGGGCCCGGGGCCGCTCCACTGGGATGCGGGCACTGGGGATCTCCGCCTTTGCAGGCGCCCATGGAAATGCGACTTTAGCAGCAAGGGTTTTTGTGATCTCCAGGGCCCGTCACCCAGGCGGAATGCCAGCGTGATAGGTCTCACCAACCGGTAGAAAGGCATGTAAACCTCGCTTGGCCAGCCCGTAGGGTCGACACTACACGAACCCCTGACTTGTCCAGACCTCCTGGCTGACTTCTTGTAGGCTCCCGTTTCTGCTGCGAACGCCTTGGCCACGCTTGTTGAATTCGAATGCCTTTGTGATTCTGCATGGGTTTGGGTGTGTGACCATCCCGAATGGCAACGACCTCTTTCTGGAAGGTGGGCGAGCCGACCCTTAAAGCGCAAAAAGCTGACTTGCATGGTGAGTCCACGCGAGTCCTCTCGCACACATCGAAAATTGGGCCCTCCGACAGACGTCGAATCTCAGTCACGACTTGGCGCGCCTGGGCATGGGGTTGGCCGATTTCCCCCCTGAAGAGGTTGCAATATCTCGCAACGGTTCCTCGTCACGGCTCAGCTGTGCGGATCCATCCTCTCCAGACTTGATTCTTCGACATCTTCGACTTGCTAGGTGCTGAGGGTTCAGGACCGTAAAATCGGCGTAGCTCTACAAGATGTAAGATACCTTCCTGTCAACAGTCTCTGACCAATTGTCCTGGATGCCCTCATTTGCCAGACCAAACCAGGATCCAACTGGAACGCCTGACACGCTGCGGCGATTGCATTGTGCCTGTAGCCTGCCTCGCAGCTATTTTCGACATGACTGCGTTCCCCCAGGCCAGTAGGCTAGCAGCCGTGTAGCATCTAGGACCAGCAGCTGACGTCAGGCGCGGACCGAGCAATTTCTCGATATCTGAAGCCAGCGCCAGGATCGTTGGATCCTCTGGCAAGACACTCTTGCTGCAGTTTTTGGAAGTGCTGCTGCTTCATTTGGGACAGGTGTCCTGCCCATGTGGGAAGATCGCTGTGAACATCTGCTCATATCCTTGACCTGGCGATCGCAGGCAGCTTTGCTTTGCACCTGTTCCGTCTCAACAAAGCAAAACGCAGCTGGCAGTGCGGTCAATGCCAAAGCCGAACTTCCTGTGTGAGAGCTTTTTACTGCAGCAGGAAGGGCACACTCTGGTGGTCCTGAGAATGCTCTGACAGGCCGCAATGAAGAGAGTCCCCACGGCCATTCTGGTGCCCGTCGTCTCTCCTCGCTGGCGAGCACCTGCACTGCCATGTCCGCCCTTCACGGTAAAGCACCCTTCCCGAAAAAACCCCGCAAGGCCGGGAAGCCAACGGGCCCGTAGCTCTGCAACCGACTGCTGGAAGCTCTGGCCTGGTGACGGTCCGCTCGGGTGCAGCGATGCAGCAACTGCGTCTCTATGCCGAAACTGGCTGTGCAGGCGAGTGGGGACAGCTTCTGGGCTGCCGGCTGGCACAAGCATTTTTGACCCTGTGAAGGAAGCGGCGCGCCTTCAAAAGGACTGGTGCAAATCCGATCTGCAGTTCTCTGAACTCTGAATGCTCTGCCTTCTCCAGCGATAGGGTTCCAGGTGCTGCACCGTCCGGTTCCTGCTACGAAACGCGGGCTGCCAAAACCCGGAGCGCTCAGCTGACTTTTCGAAGACAGCACATCGGCCTCACTGTCAGAATCGCCAGCGGACGGTGCCTGGCTTCAGGCTCGATCTTGCTTGCCAGCCGTGATGCAGAAGCCTAATTTCCAACACTTTTGATTCGCGAGGTCATGCACCAGAGGTCTCGTTGCAAGGTTGAGAGCAGCGGCCGGGTGACAATGTAGCACATCTGCAGCTACAGGACTACAGCGCCTAGAGGCTTAGAGGGCACATTTACCATCTTGAAGCTCGAAAGCTGCTCCAGGGTGAAACCGCACAGCGGGACAGCGTCTGAATCTTGTCGGACAGCACGGCTGGCGAAGTTACTTGCAAAGTCAGCCTTCCGTGGTCAGCTTGTCCTGAGGGTCCCAAACGAGAAAGGTTATCCAGCACCCAGCAGCTGGTTCAGTCCTTGCTCGCCTTGCGCGAACCAGACCTCACACCCAAAGAGATGCAGCGACGAAAGCTGAAAAACAACGCTTAGGGCTCAGGCTTGCTGGGTCGTCGAGACCCACTTCTGCTCGGTGGATCAGCTGCAACAGGCCTTGTGGACAGTATATCAAACGCGAAATTCAGGAAGAAAGTCATCTTCTGTCCCTTTCTGAGATGGTTCCTTGTGCATCTCAGGCCAGAACGCCGGAAAGATCTCTTCGACTTCCTGCGCACGTAAGCAGACAGAGATAAAATTCAAAATCATTGCTGCAGAAACATCATGCTGTGCCTGTCATAACCATCATCCAACCCACATTCTGCCTAAGAACTTTCCCGATGTCCACAAGCCCAACCGAAAGCCCTCGCAAAGGATTGCCGACAGCGTGGAAATTTGAAGTTAATCTCTCCTCAAGTCTTTATGACACAGAAAAGTCAGTCCTCGGGAGAAAGGTTGGCAATTGCTGTCTCCTCGCAGCAAACGCAGTTCAAGTTTGGGAAAGGTGGACATTGCCACAGTTGCCTTGAAGAGATGGCGCAGTTTGCCTTCATTGAAGCGACCACCGGGAGAGTCCGGCCTTACTGGGAGCATAAGGATGCTGTCCAAGGCTCGGCGTCGGAATCTGGGATTCGCACGTCTTCACCTCGGAAAACGCCCAGCAACACTGCAGCGGGGTCTTTCCATGGGCGGCCCAGGCTGCCCACCATTTCTGCAATGCCATCCGTCAGCTTCGCCTGGCAATTCTTCGCCTCCACAGGACCGAACTCCGCGCGAAATTTTGAATCGCTCGCGTGCTGTAACGTGTGGAAGACTCAGCTGGCCGTGAGTTTGGTGATGGTCAAGTGCGCAATTTCGCCTCGTCAAGTGCACAATCCAAGGCCCACTGGCCCGAGGCTTCAGGAGCTCAGTGCCAAACTCAAGGGTTTGCTGACAGATGGGTCCAGAGGATCTGTCCTTGTATGTCAATGAGCTCACACCCCCCAGCTCAATGGTACCATACGACGCCCTCTGAAACTCAGGTCGCAGCGGCGGAGGGCCTTCTAGGGGATACAGGGGAACTACCTGGCACCAGAAGATGATGTCTCGACTGGTTGAAAAAAACATGCACATTGTGGATACTCGTATGCAGTTTCGTGGAGGAAACTCGCTGGGCCCACAGTACCACCCCAACGCCACTCTCGCCACTTTCCGGGTCCACGATTGCGCATGTCGCAAACCTGTCTTCAAACACCGGGCTTTGGTGAGGCACGAAACACCAGAATCAAGCGTCAGCCTTGCGCGTCGTCGGGCCCACAGCTCACCCGTTCGGCTTTCTCCCACTCTGAGCCGACATTGGCCACATGTCATTGTAAGACCAGACGCTGCCATGGTTATGAAAAGTCGTCAGCATACAGAAGCCCCCGCACAACGCGCGTTGCCAGCCGTGCCTCATCTCCGACATCACCATCCCGCCAAAGTGATGGGCCCAAGAACAAAAGCCTCTGTGAATCATTCACGGGCAAACCACCACATGGCCATCACGCGCAAATTCGTGGCCTGCGTCGGCCTCGGATTGGTTCGGAGTCCTGGTAGCCGACAAGAACACCTCCCTGCAGGACGACCAAGCAACGGGTCACCGCGCAGAACGACAACAATCCGAGCATTCCACCCGATTTCTCACCAGCTTGGCCTGGATAAGACCCCAAGAAAAGCCAAAGCGTTGCACTTCAACGCTTCAACTGCTTCAATTTGCCAGCAGCCTACAAAGCGATCTCTTCAAGCACAACTGTCTGTCCTTTCTATACGGGTGCAGCACTGCTGCGTCTTGAGGTGTCTTGAAGCCATGGCTGATTGATTGATTGACTAATTGATTGACTGACTGACTGGCTAGCCGCACGGGCGGACTGACTGAGCACCTGCCGGGTCACAGGCAGCAGCACTGCACTTGCCATATGGAGTTGTGCAACGCTACCAGCTTCAGATGAGAACTATGCAAAGTACCTCACAGTATATGTCAATAAGACATCGAGTTCGGATGGCTGCACGCTGTTTGAATGCATGATGCATGCTGATGCTCTGAGCTGCTTCGGGTGAGGGAGTTTACACTCGGCAGGATGTGATTTCAGGCTTCAGGACCTTTAGGATTTGCTTCCTTCGACTTCGTCATACTTCGTCTCTCAATCCATGTGCTCCGACACATCATGAATACGCACCAAGAAGAAGACGCCGATCGCCTATCAATCACGCGCTGTATGCGAGCGCAACGTCTCTTCCTTTGAGAAGCTGGCTCTCTGAAGGAACGCCGGGTTGTTGCACTTCTCTGCAACCGCCTGCAGCAACGGATGAGATCCTCGCAAGTTCTCAACATTCTTGACAACCAAGCTTGCAAAGTGTGCGTCTGTGGCTGCGGCTGCCCGAACGTCACGCATTGACGCCTCAGGCCGCAGCATTTAAACACCAATGTGGAGCAGAAATGAGCCACGAAGACTGAGGTCTGCGACGGTGCTGGCAACCGTCACATAAACCTGCCGCGGGTATCGGCAGAATGAACAACCCCGCGCCCGAAGCCATGATTAGACCGCTGCAAAGCCTCCTCGGAAGTGACACTGTCTCCAGCCCTGCGGACACGTACTTGGACCTGGCACATCTTGTACATTGTACCACAGTCAGCCTACATTCCATGAACGCTCTTGGCCTCCTTCGTTGTGTTCAACTCTTCAGCGGAGTCCTAAACCAGCACTCACGCTTGCTGCCCCCTTGTCACTGCCCCCCGCCATCCTCTGCCCCTGCCCTTTCAATTCTTGTCTGGGTCCTGAGTGCCATGTGCCGCTTCCTCCGCAAAAAGGAGCTCGTTCAGCACAGAACCCTGCGAAACAGAGCGAGTGACCTTCTAAACGCTACCGACAGCTCGTCTCGGACACACTTCGATTCCGTCAGCCTGCTGCTGGAACTCGGCGTTGGAGGTGATCTCTGGGCGGTCGAATTGCTGGAGCATGTC